CCTGTATTAGTCAGTGTTCTCTATGACAGAACCCATAGGATGGATGAACTGGTGGACAGAGAGGTAGATAACAGAGATAGATGATAGATAGATAAGAGAGAGAGATGATAGATAGATAGATAGATAGATAGATAGATAGATAGATAGATAGGCAGAAATATAGACAGAAAGTTGAGAGGCTTATGCAGGGAATTAGCTGGCGTGCAGGCTAAGAGGTCCTGTGTCAGGTCATCTGCAGGCTGGAGGCCCTAAGTACCAGAAGCATGTTTCAGTCCTCACTCTGAAATCTTCAGCACCAGGGAGGCTGATGTTGTAACTGTCATCTGAGTCTGACAGTTTCAAGAAACCAGGGTTGGGGGCTCCCCCTGGTGCCAGTCTTAGAGTTCAAAAGTCAAAGATTCTGGAGTTCTGGTGTCTAAGGGCAGGAGAAGCAGAGTATCACAGCGCTAGTGGGAGTGGAGGGGAGCCTTTCCCTGCAGTTTCGGCTGGACGGCGCCTGCTCACCCTGTGGGCTGGTCTTCCCCACCCAGTCCAAGGCCTCCTGTGCTGGCCTTGTCTGGACACCCTCCCAGACAGGCCCAGACACAAAGCGTTACCAGTTCTTTACCTTAACCCTGGCAGGCTGATGCCTAGAATGAACCATCACAAAGCCCCTCAACATCTTCATCCCTATCTGCCCCTGCCTCTGAGGTCGAATGCTCACCTGTCTGAGATGCCGTGAAGGGCTGGAGCTTAGGAAGCCCCACACATCTTGGACTGGTGGAGCCCCGTGTGCTGCAGGGAGGTATCACTGGCCCATGGGATGTCACCCTGTGCTGTCCCTGTGCCCCTCTTCATGCTATTCATCAGATGGGTTCTTCACAAAGCATCTGCCACGACACTGCCTTGTTCTAAGCTAAACTGAGTGAACGAGCCAAGGTCTAGGAGTTCTGTCCTAACAATGATGATTATCGGTGTAGCTAAAATTTACTGCACCCTGAGTGCCAGGCTGCAGCCACCTCTTGTACACAGTACTCACTTAATCCTCAGAGAAACCTCCAAGAAATCACTATTATCCCCATTTCATAGGTGAGAAGACTGAGGCACGGAGAGGCCACCCAACATCAACAGATGGCAAAGAATAGAATGAAGATTCAAGCCCCCAAATCATCTGATCTCAGAGCCTCCCTTTATCTACTGCACAACAGGAAATCCCTGTTGTGGAAAATACAGTTATGGAGGAACTGTTTGGCTTCCTACCCAACTCCATCTGCAAACATATTGAACAGAAACCCGCTCTCACCTTATGGTCACATTTGGCAAAGATTAAGGGCTTCGGACAAGGATTCCAGGGCAGGAGGCACACCCCAGGGCTTGGACTGAGACTATTTATTTAGTTATGTATTGGCACCGGGAATCAGACTCAGGCAGGTGCTGTACCACTGAGCTATCCACCCCGAGACTCAGTATTTAAGGTCAACTAAAGTGATTTCTTTACCCAAACTAAAATTGTTCAGGGAAACTGACCCCTACTGTTCAAGGGTAATTGTCCAAAAGAACACCATAAAGTTCAATATACGGTGAACCCACAAAACCGTACGAGATCAAGAATGTCTATATTCAGGCCCAAAGTGGCCCTCTTGGGTGTGTGTGTGTGTGTGTGTGTGTGTGTGTGTGTGTGTATTTGTAAGTGATCAGAGCTATGCCTTCCTCTTGATTCTGCCCAAAAATGCAGAAAAGGAGAAGCACAAGGGAATTCCATAATCCACATGGGTCTGTGAATTTCACAGTGGTTGATTTATGCACTTTTTCTAAGTTGCCCAGTCCTGTCTTGAACTTGTGATCCTCCTGCCTCAGCCTCCTGAGTAGTGGGGATTATAGCTGTGTACCACTATCCTGGCCTGCACTTCATTTTTGCTCAATCTGTAACATGTCAGAGGTTCCAAACTGGCAGCCCATCAACAGAACTTGGACTGTGTATGAAGTTTATTCAGCTCACACATCATTGAAAATGTTTTTGATTTGACACTCCAAGAAACTTGGAGATTTCCCACAAAAATCTAGTCTTGAAAATCAGGAAATCTGGCCACACTAGACCCAGAGTGCAACAATGTCAGCTGTAGCTCCACAGCATTCGCCCCTTTGGATGGGGCCTGTTGCTCTCTTCCTGTTTGTTATGGTTTGTGTCTCTAAGTCCTCCCAAAGCCTCATGCAGTCATGGGGTGGGCTTCTAGAGTTTATGATTGACTCGTGGTCCAAAGCTGGGATTATGGGTGTGAGGGCTACCCCTGCCCGGGGGCAGATGATTTGCGTACAATGTGAGGGAGGGAAAGAGGCTTGCTCTCTGCTGCTGCTCTTCCCTCTTTTGCTCTTACTGCTTTGCTGTCTTCTGCCAACCTGAAGTGTTGCCCCTGTGCCATGCGCCACTCTGCCTTGGAGCCAGCCGAGTATGGGCTGAAACCTCCACAAACTGTGAGCTAAATAAACATTTCCTTCCTTAATTTTGGGTGTCAGGTGTTTTGTCTCAGCAAGGAGAGAAAAGTAACCGAGGCACTGCTGCTCTGCTGTGTCTCATTTTGATGATCCATCCCCAGTAAAATGTCTGTTCCTTGCAACTGAGACAGCCTTGGTGAGAACCTTGGTGGCCTGTATATCCAGAGCAGTCGCCACGCAAACACTGCCCACCCTGTGGCCACTGCCACCCTTCTTCATGGTACTAAGTCCTCAAATTTGTATTCAAGGGGCTGTGGCTATTCTTGGGCTTTGTGGAATGCAGCAGGCCTTTCTTTCCCTGCGCCTGGGGAATGACTCATGTTGGCAAGGACCCGTGGCCGAGGTCTGATTGATGAGAAATGAAGGTAAATCTGCTGGAGGATTTTCTTTTCCCATCCAAAACAACAGACCCTTCTGGAAGAAAGAATTTTTTCCCCCATTCTACTTTCTTTGAAAATAAATGTGATGTAAACCAGGTGTGGTGGTGCATGCCTAGAATCCCATCACTCGGGAGGCTGGGGCAGGAGGATCATTGCAAGTTCGAGAACAGCCTGGGCTACAAAGTGAGCTCAAGGCCAGCCTGAACTGCACAGAGAGACCCTGTCTCGAAAAGAAAAGAAATGTGATGCTTCACACTTGGCCAGCCATATTATACCTATGAGGTTTCATACATGGAATCAAAAATCAAATGCACAACATGCAGAGGAAAGGCAAAAAGAAGCTGGATCCTGGATGCCATTGTGGAGCTGCTGAAACTTCCCTGGACTCTGTTTGACTTTGGGCTTCTTGGTAAATGGGCAATGACTGTTCTGATGGCTTAAACCTCTATGGACTGTGTTTACTGCTACTTACAGCTGAAAGCATCCTGGCAGGTCCCTATTAGTGAGAACAAGGTGGGGACTCATGAGCTCACCATTCAGAACTTTCTGTTGCTTCACATTATTAAAAAATATTGTATCTACGATCCTTTCCAAGCTGATTCCTAAGATGCTCTTTCATCTCCTTGCCAATCCCACCAAGGTCATTGTGTGTGCTTGAGAATACTTGAAGAGAAAGAAATGTAGAGCTCTGGCTCTGCCGAACACCTTTTGACATCTTCTGAAATCTTTTCTACCGTGGAGAAAAGGAGATGACATTTCCATTAATGGAAACAGGAGCTTTTTTGAACAGGATTGTTCAATAGATGGAAAACATCTTTAGCTAAAGGCCCCATGTATTTCAGACTCTTGGGAGACTTCTGCTTCAATTCTTATATTTTTCAATAATACTGATTTTTTTAAAGGACAGGTTATTTAGTAGGCAAAGAGTTTTTAACTTTTTTTTTTCTCTCAGTTGGAAAACTGCAATCCCTTTCATCCCAGCCCCCGGAAACGGGGCACTCCCTTCCTATCCAGTCCTCAGCTCGCTGGGATATTGGAGCAGGAAGAGGTGAAAATGATTATCTGGCAATATCTGATCAGCTGGAATGCAAAAAAGGCGAACTCAGCCATCTAGGAATAATTAGAACTATAGCTGCTCATGATTCAAGAAAGAGGGAATGTCCAAACCAGACCGACCTGCCAAGCTGTTTCCTGTGGTCCCGCCTGGGACTTGGGACTGGCTGCTGTTGACCTAGGAGTGGAGCCTGAAGGTGTCCGTCACAGTCCCAACGCTGCCAGCCAACGGTGTACCTCCCCTCCCCGTATTAGACAGGAGGTTATCACGACAAAGCCTTGCGATTAATTCAGGTGGACAAAGTTAGCAAGACCATTAAGTTGAATTGTCACTAGGACATTATGACAAGTGACCAAACGTAGACCCCTGCGATGTCCATCACCAACATGTTTTAATAAGAGATGAACACACACATTTGGCTTCCTTGCAATGTTTGCTTTGAGCAACGGGCCTTTGGTGGGATCT